AATCCCACCGCTGCCAATCTCTTTTGTATTCAAGTGCTCTTCTTCCTCATCGAAATAATTGCTGTAAAAGTTATCCTTCTTTTGGTAGCGTGGCCGAGTGGTCTAAGGCGCTGGTTTTAGGCACCAGTCTCGTAAGAGGCGTGGGTTCGWKTCCCACCGCTGCCAATCTCTTTTATTTTCAAATGCTGTATCTGCGCATCGAAATAATTGCTGTAAAAGGTATCCTTCATCTGGTAGCGTGGCCGAGCGGTCTAGGGATCTCGTTTAAGGCACCAGTCTCGTGGGTTCGAATAAATATTATTGTTTATTGCATTAAGTAAGATTTTTTTTTTTTTTTTTTGTACTCACAGCTTGATAAAAGTCCGCCGCAAACTCTAGAAATAGGTACATCCGATGAGCTGAAGAATGAGATTGTAAAACAAAATCAAACCATTGACACCCTGAATGAAACCATTAAAAGACTTCAAGACGAACAATCCCTAGACGGTCTTCGTCAGAGAGCTATCAGTTCAGTATGCACCGGCGTTTTCAAGGATGATTACGATCAGATTGATGACATCAATATTAAGTTATTTGAACCACCACAGTACCAAGATAGCGACCAAAATGATTTAGATGAAGAGCAGGGTCTATCAAATGGCRAAAAACTTAGGCAACGAAAAACTTCCATCGATGCTCTTGACTTACAGACTCCAGTAAGTCAACCAATCAACGGAAAGCTAGGAAGAAAGAGTTCCCGAATCTTAAAGTTACGACGAAGTTTTACGAAGTACAGATTTCAAAAACACAGCATCGATGCATTAGACTTGTGCGACAGTAAGAAAGACGAGACAAAAAGGAATGATTCGAGAAATTCACAAATTGAAAGATTCAGGCTAAAGTTTTTGGAATATTATAATGTCAAATCTGATGGACCGCAAAGGCGGATATCAAGCGTTCTTACACCCCCAAGGCCGCGTCGTAGGACGGAATCTCAACAAAATAACGATAAAGGAAGATCTTTTTCGGCATCTGATGCCGAATTTACAGGAATAGATCCCCAATTCCACTGCGAATTACAAACGGTTTTTTCGAGAAGGTCTTCTTTGAACAGTTCATGTGACAAAGAGATTGAAGRGGTTTTTGAAAACTCATCCATCACGCCGGAATTCGCTGATGAAGATTCAAAGACATTTTCCTATTTATCTATTTATGATATTCTTGAAGACATGAGACTAATTACAGCAACCCTCCAAAGAGAACCAGGCATGGAGTTAGGTCTAGAGATTGCACGTGTAACTGATCAGGCAGGGTCTCCTGTCGATGAAGAAAATGACGGTGGAAAAGTTGTCTACGTTTTCCATAAGAGCGATGGTCAAACTTCCGTTGTTGAAAGCCCCACAGGACTTACAGAAATTGAAAAACAGACATCATTAACGGGTTATCCTACCATCACCAAGGAAGAACTGTCTACGTCTAAGTATTCCGAAGACGAAAGAGACGACGTTTTTTCGCCTGTACACATTGAATCACATGCTGATGAAAGTGGTACGCTTGTAAATCATGTGAAGTCCAAAGACGGTAAAAACTTAACAAACCTCGAATCTCGTTCTACTTTTTCATGCTGGAAAAAGGGCCTAGGACCCAAGGCTCATCGTGGTGTACGGATTGTTGGGGTTGCCAAAGGGAGTCGCGCAGAAGAAACTGGGAAACTAGCAAGAGGTGACGTCATAGTTGAGGTGAGACCACAGGGAGCCCACGCTGTTGGGTTCAAATTATTGGCACTTCTTTTCTTGGCAAGATTTTGAAAGCTGCACGTAATATAATGCTGTAATAAGAAGTAAAATTGCGCTATACGGGGCCGTAGAAAAGTTTAGGGCCTATTTTCATGCCCAAACCCTACTCAACTGGCGGAAATTATACGATTTCAATTATGTCTTCGAGCATGCGCAGTAAGAAATTAGGGCCTTGAGTATGAGATTGACTTACGCTAAGCCCATATCTCTACCCTCTGCGCATGCGCATCTCTAGGTGTATGAATAGGCAGCTGTACTCGAGGAAATGATCATGATCAAGTGCATGGGAAAACTGTGGATTAGGTTTATTTTGCTTTGATCGTTCATATAGACCATTTCTGATRATATTTTTGATGATGATCCTTTAAGGTCAATGGAAGAAACGTTTTGAATTCTTCGCTTGACGTTGTCATAGCAACCTTGAAGGACTGTAACACAGTACAACTCGTAGTGGCAAGGGAAAAAGACACAATGGATTCAAATGGAAACACGGTATGTTAAATTCTTCCATAAATCATGGGTGAAAAGAGGGTGTGGATGGGGCTATTTGAGATATAACGCGCGCGCTGATTGGCTGGCTACCGTGTTCATATCTGATGACAGAGACACTCGTTCCAAAACATTTTATAAAAGTAGTATAAAACGGCTGCTTATGTCTCTGTACTGTAATATAAACACTCTGGGAGCTGTAGAGTACTCAAGAAGCAAGAGAAACACTCGGCTACGCCTCGTATTCCTAAGCTTTCTTCTCTCGTGCTCCACAGTTCCCAGTGTGTTTATATCACAGTACAGAAACATACGCGCGCGTTTTATAGGAAATATAGGAAAAATATAGTCGTAATTTATCTTGTTAATACATTTTTTAGGTGGAGCCTTCCCCAGCGCAATCTCCACTGCCGTCTTACCATGAAGACATGAAGGCTTTGACAGATCAGGTACAACAGCTGGTTGGCAAGGTAACTGAGCTACAAGCTTCTCTGACAAAGAAAGACAAGACAATTGCCTCTCTAAAGAAATCGCTCGTCAAGAAAAAACTTAGAATTAGTTCCAAAGAGAAGATAGTTGAAGGAGAACAAGTTATGGTATAAATGTTAGATGAATGAGTTTTTGCGGGGTGTTATGAAGAGTTTGGATAAACGTTGTGCGCATAATTATGTTGAATGTTCATGTGGTTTGTTTTTAATGGAGAAAGCTTGGTAAAGGTATGTTGCATGTTGTTTACTAAGCTTCATATTTATTAAATACATGTGTAAATAATGTTAGCACGGAAGAAAATATACCGGAAGAACGTGCAGACAAGGTTTAGGAAAATTTCATATTGTTGTGTCCTTTTGCCGATTGGATTCACATCGCTTATAATGCAGTTCGGGCTTGCTGATACACGCAACAAAACCAACAAAAATTTCGTTTTGAAAATAATATATATCTAGCTGTATCTGTAATAGTGTGCTACATACGTTTATATGAGTAAATTCGTGACCTATTTGATTATCATAAATACTTTATTGGATCTATTTTACAACGACGTTGTTAAAATATTAGATAAAACCTTACAAAAAGATACAGTTTCAGTGTAATACACAACACAGCTAATAAGGCTTTTTTCGTATTTTTTCACAACAATCAGAATATTTATACAATTTTTGACAAACTGCTGTACTAAATATTGATTGTTTCTAGAGTGACCATAGTAAATCCGTGAAAATTTAGTAATGCTAAATAGCACAATTTCATGTAAATTCCATTGTTTTCTATTGCTTAATTAGCACTATTTGGTACTATTTAGTAATTAATGTTTCACGGATTAATTGTTTGCACTCTAGTTCTCTCCACAAAATGATATATATATATACATGTGTCAATATTTTACATTAAAGTATAGATTATCACAAATTAAGAAATAAAACTACCATCAAGAGTGTTACAACTATTTTGTGTACATGGAGAATAAATTATTAACCTGTAGATTTAAGACTCAGCCACTGGACAGCCTCAATCCATTTGCTTGCTGCTATTTTCCATATTCTACGAACTCCAACATTTCAACGGCTTGTTGTGAAATTGATTTATCACTGCCGCCAGTCAAGAACATGAAAGGTACTGACTGATTATTTTTGATTGACAGCAGCAAAAAACAAAAAAGCAAAACAAAAAACAAATTTCAGCGTGCAGCTTGCAATTACCGAGTTTGCAGAATATGGAAAACCAAAGTAAAGGTTGTGATGGCTTTGCTTGGGAAGACAGAGGAGGGCTTAAATGTACCTGCCAGAGGGGCTACGCAGGCTAACTTGTCTAGCCATGATTATCGTTATTTCTTGACCAGGAAAGTGTCCAGGAAAATGTCCAGGAAAGTGTCCAGGTCAGCTTTAGTTTTCTGCAGAGTATTGATGTTCTATTTTCTTGAAGTATGGATGATTTATGTTCATTTCTTGACCAGGAAAGTGTCCAGGTCAGCTTTAGTTCTCTGCAGAGTGTTGATGTTCTATTTTCTTGAAGTGTGGATGATGTATGTTCATTTCTTGACCAGGAAAGTGTCCAGGTCAGCTTTAGTTCTCTGCAGAGAATTGATGTTTCGTTTTATTCTGTCAGCTACTGATGCTGTAGTCTTGGATGAGAATGAATCCACCTTCATGGTACTAAAACATAAATTATTTTACATGTTATTTAATTTTACTTAATGTGTAGTTCCAAAAATTATCCATACCCCCCTCACGGAGGAGTTCTTTTAAGACACCCCCCTACACCCCAGAAATTCCAATTTTCTTCCATACAAACTCTGTTAATTTTTGTTATTTCTCTGAACCCCCTACTCTTTGGAAATTCCAAATTCCTCTGTGGGGTGTGTATAGGTGATTTCTGGAACTACACAATATAGCTGAACAAACATTCCATGCAGTAAGGAAAATACATAAGTAAGATGTCAAAGACACAGAAAATGTTCTTCTTCAAAATATAATACCACGGCATGCCTGAAAAGCAGTGTTGCTGAGTCGTTTACCGTGGATAAATAAAGTTCATTCATTCATTCATAATCTTCCTCACAAGTCATCTTTAAAAGAAATCTTGTTATGAAAACATACCTGATGAACTGTGCACTCTTGCCAGAGTTCTGAGCTTCTTCCTTGGATTCAGCTTCCTCTTTTTCCTRTAATATAAAATTCAAGAGAATAATTGATTAAATTTGATAGTTTAACAGTAATAGACCTCCTACAACCCTTTTGTCTAAAGTCTTGTCTTTTCTATAGGGTTTAGTGGCCACTTCTTTAATGCGTAATGCTTGTATCAAAGCTGATGTTAAAGTGCAAATGAACTCTTCAACAATACTTTCAGTACTGATTCTACATGAAGTAAATAGTTGAGTGGTAAAATATTTCTTGATTTGAGTGTGTGTGATACGTTTCTAAGTTATGAAGGTTTATACTTCCAATATGCTAATGAGTGTGATGTCTATTAAGGCTTAATCAAATATACAAAATCGAACTGGATCATAGATACAGTATTTAAAAGAATTATTCTTTTACTCAAGGTTTACATGAAAGCTATTTGAATTTTTTATTTTTAAAATGGCCAGGATTTAGTATTACTAGTTACAACAAAAACACTCAAATACCTTACCTGACGTCATCATCCTTAACATATTGGAAGTATAAACCTTCATAAGTTAGAGACGCATCAGTTTAAAAATCAAGAAATATTTTACCAATCAACTATTTATTTTATGCAGAACCAGTACTGAATGTATTGTCAAAGAGTTCATTTGCACTTTAAGTAATATATACAATGTGTGCGTTAATCTGTTAGGTATTCACAAGGGCAAACCATTTTAAACCCAAATAGAAGGTAATAGATCAGTAATAGATCTCCTACTGTATGTTTACTAAGTTAATATAAATTGGAAGTTTAAAGGCAAATGAGGATGACTTTGTATCTGATTTACCTCCTCAGACTCTCCTAAATGTTCATGAATTATTCATAAATTAATAGTACAACTTATTATACAATGTGATCATATTATAATTCAACTCTTACTTTGAATTATCATGACCTTACCCTGTATCTCTTGACATGAGTTGTCCTCTGATCATTTCTCCACCTAAACCGGAAAAAAAACATGTGTCTTAGTGAAAAGACTACTAAATTTGGTAAAAAAAGTAAAATCTCTAAACTAAAACTAAATCAAAACGAGAAAAGTGAAAAGTAAAAGTGACTAAGTATGTACAGTATCAAGAACTCAATGACATCATGGCTGTTTCCCAATACATTGTTTGAGATGCTTTTGAATTTTATTGATTGACATAAATTTACATTCATCCCAAAATGCTACGCCGAGAGAAATATTTGTGCATCAGAAATATTTCTAACTGGACATATATTTAAGTCAAAATAAAAAAGTGCAAAATATAACTTTTAACTTGTTCAAGTCCTCCAAGTTTTGGCTCTATAAATATACAAATAATTTGTATACTTACTACATTTTAATGTTGAGGTGATACGACTCTTAACTCGAATGTTTGATTTTTGTAGAAATAGAAAATAGCAATTATTGTTATTTTCTATTTCTACAAAAATCAAACATTCGAGTTAAGAGTCGTATCATCTCAACATTAAATGTAGTGGCAGTAAGTGTGGAGTGTGTCATACCTATTCAATAGCCTCTGGCTAGGGAGCCTCGGCAACGACTCCCCATATCATAACAGAAAATAAAACATTATTAACATAATATTACTTACTTTGCATTTTCAAGCATTTCTTGGCGTCGCTTTTCCAACTCTTCGGCACTTAATTTTCTTGAAAGTAATGATCATTATTAATTAAATAGTTTGGCCCTCTAATAAATATAAATCACAATTCCTATCTTTCTATAGTAGGGAAACTTTTGCCCAAGAGAACAACAACTCTAAGGGAAAATGTAGTAAATGTTGCATCTTGAGAGAAGCAAGAATGAAAATGAGGGATGCCACATTAGACTTATTTTCACGTGACCAGACAAGAGGATAGGTCTAAGAGGCATTTAAAACTTGTTTGCAATTTTTCTCACATGCTGGTGCTGCACAATAGGACACAGGGTACCCTTCGAGGCGCAAATAGTGCACCAATTTCAAACTTAATTAAATTCCCCATCCCCATCCCACAATCAACCGTTAGAAATCGTTAGTAAAGACCAGACACTGAGGGCAGTCACTGCGAAGGTTTTTTTACACCCCTTYTTTAGTCCCTTCAACGCAGGGTGAGGTAGTGTGGAGAGGTGGTCATCCAAGACAAATGCCAATTTTTGCCAGACTTTCTCCATCCAGCCGAGTCAACCTTCAGAACAAACTCAAGGTCAACCATTCAGAATGGAGGATTCAAGATCATATTTTGATTAGCATTTCCCATGATTCTGCCAAGAGAATCCATGAAATATCAATTATTGATTCTTTAAATTCATCGTAAATGCTACTAGTTGAACTCATGGTAGAATTCTAGTTCATTCAACATGAGAAATCTACATTGTACTCAGCCCCAGCTAGGAAAATCCTGACCAAAAATATCTGACCCATGATCCCTTTTGGGGAATGCAGTCAACTCAGCTGGATTAATTGGCTATTATTTTCAGTCATCAGGGTATTGCCGAGGTAATCAATACAAACATAGAAAGTGCATTACAAGAACCTACTTGGAAACTGCAGAACCTCTGGAATTTCTGCCCTGTTTAGGTGAAGGGGATCTCCTTGACTTTTGAGATGATTCCTTGTGCCGTATTTCTCTTCTTGGTGAAGAAGACCTCCTTGACTTTTGAGGTGATTCCCTGTGCTGTCTTTCTCTTCTTGGTGAGGATAATTTCCTTGACTTCATAGGAGAGGATTCCCTGTATCTCCTTTCTTTTCTTGGAGAGGGGGAGTTTGATCTCCTTGACTTCAATGGAGGGGAATCCCTTCGTCTATCTTTTACTGGAGAAAGAGATCTCCTTGACTTTCTATGAGGAGATGCCATAGAATATCTATTTTCTTGGGGTGAAGGTGATCTCCTTGACGGTCTGTCATATTTTGATTTATTAAGATGCCCATTTCTAATAGGAGATCTAGACCTTGATCTTTGCCTATCAGATGACAGAGATCTTGACGAACTCCTTCGTTGATGCTTTCTCTTCTCATTTTGTTGTCTTCTGTTGTTAGGTGATTGTGATCTTCTTGATTTTAACCCATTTTCTTGTCTTCTTCTGTGTAACCTTGACTCAGACTCTCTGCTTTGATCTTCAGGGGATTCTGATCTGGATTTTCTTCTCTTCTGGCTGTGAATATTTCAAAAAGTAATGAACAGAAGAACATTTAATTTATAATAGGGGGGTTGCAAAATGGCCATCATGCAAAAAAAGCTGGTGTGATCAGCTTCTCAAAAGGCTTCACAACAAAGGGCTTTGGCTTCGATCATCACCCCAGGATCCACTACTGACAAATAATGTATTTCTGAACAGACCTATCATTTGTGAAAAATCTTACTATTACATACATTAAAAGTAGCTAACAGCATAATTATACACTAGTACCTGTAATGTTCCCTTTTGTGTCTTCCGTCCTTGCGTTCACTCTTTCTGACGTCATCATCAGTATCATTATCCTCAGATTCACTTTCTTTATATCTCTTTTTCTTTTCCTTTCTTTCTTTTTTCCTCTTCTTTTTATCTTTCTTCTTCTTGGATTTTGTTAGATTGGTTTGGAGCATTTGTCTCAACTGTTTCATTTTAATTGGGTTGTTTATCAGTTCTTTTTTCTTTTCCTCCTCTTTCTTTTTGATAAGAAATAATGGATCATCACGGACTTTTGCAGCCAAATCAGCTGGAGTATTAGCATTGGCATCACTTGAAAATGATGACCCAGGGATCGTGTTGTCCTGGACAGAATTGAATTGTCATTAATAAGGAAAATGTGGCTAAGTGGGTACAAGCAAGATGACTGCAAGCAAGGAAGACATAACCAATTGAGGAGTCAATATACAGAGCATGTACATGGGGTTTGGGGGAGGGGGGGGGGGAGGAGGGGAGAAAACGGTGCAGTAAATTTCAGAAATGTTGAATTAATTGAAATAGTGCATAATAGTATGGAATAGTTAGCGTGATAACTTAATGTATAGTTCCTGCTGACAACAAAATGTAGATGTATGTATGGTATATAGTACTGACAAATTTATTTCAATCAATAGCGTGAGAAACGATGTTGATCATTACCAAAGGACAAGAATTCCTCTTGGCAGGAAGGGATAGAACAACAACCAACAAACTCAACTCATATGCAGTACCCTAAAATTCCAGTCATAAATTCCTCATGGTTATGAGCTCTCCCGACTATGAGCCATAAGCCCATATCCTTCCGGTAATAAGCTCACCTCTGGTGAAAATCCTCCCAGTTACATGTATAAGCTCATACAAAAACCTYATAACCCCAATACTACAGTTAACTCAACTCCCCCCAAATCCATAGCATAGGTAACAACATTTTAGTAATTTACATACCTGCTGATCATCCTTGGCTAGTGGGTCCACATGTTTGTCAATAGTTTTACCCAAAAGGTACTGTTCTTTATCAACCTGACCAGGGGTGGAGTACATCCAGTCTAGTCTCTCAGACTTTTTCCTATTAATAAAAAAAAGATGTAAGCAAATTTAATTAAATAATAATTATTAGTATTCGGTATATATGTTCTCATGCTCACAGACAATTTACTGATTTAGGGGAAAACACATGATTCTGTATGACAAAGGAAATATCATATCATAGTCCTAGAGGTAACCAAGATGTAAGCATAAGGGATGTGTGTCATCAGAAAAAGAAACTTGTCAAAAATCTTGACAATCAAAAATATTATGTGACGACGGACAACGTAAACAAAGCCAGACATCACTGTCTTGGATCGATCTAAGTCACAACCAAAAACACAGCCTATTATACTTCGATATCCCATGATCTATGGCATGCTTTTGCATTTCTTCTCTCGCTCTTTCTTCTTGTAATTCTCGTTGAAGCTGTTCGATCTTTTTTGCTTCGGCAGTCGCCTTCTGCTCTGCTTTCCATACTCGTTCCACATTGCGTATTGTCTGAGGATGCCAGCTTTTCTTTAAATTCTACGTAAACGTGAAAAATAGGTATTAGAATATCTCTRTTTTCTATTTTAGCTTAGTGTAGGTTGAAATTCAAGGTGAAAAAAATTAAATAAACTCACCAAATCTCCTCCTCCCATGATGACAATACTACGTTTGMACGAACTGGAGTTGGCAATCAAACCAACCAGCGGTATACCGATGAAGAAGAGACTAAAAACTAGTACTCAGCCTACTACTACTCATATTAAAAATATATATATTTCATTTTTGAAATCTTTTAAGAAAAAAACAACTAGTAAACAGTGTTTAATTTTGCTTTATAGATACAACTTGTGTTTTATCTTAGGGGTAGAAACCAATAGGATGCAATATAATTTTTAGAAAATCTCACTCTGTTCTCTATGGCCGAGCTGGTTGACAGCGAGGTCGAGGCAAGAGTATTTTTAAGAAGCGGGGAGGGGTAGGTAGGAATTTCATTTGATTTTCAAAAAATGGCAAATTTTTATTTTATTCTTACATTTTTATCATTATGAACAATAAATATTAAATATATTCATAGGATTTTAAAAAATACGTACGTTGTTTTCAGAAAGCTCCAGTCCAAGTAAGGAAACGATTTTTTTCTTGAAAATTTTTGTTTAATTTAAGGGAGGGGAAGCAAGGGTAAACATTTACACGATAATGCAAACAAACATGGCCCCTTCCTTTCTTCATACCTTTGACGTCTTTCCTTAGGCATTCATCATCAATCTTTAACGAAACACTTTCATGTTTGTGAATTTTGTTGCCATGGAATTACTTTACAAGATCCAGATAGTTCCTAAGACCCACTTTTAATATATTAACCAATGATACAAAGGAAATTTTTAAAGAAAAATTAGTTTGCTTCAACCTCCCTGTCAACCTCTTTCGTCCCTTGGTTACGCAAAATGCTTCGTTTGCCAATACAAAGACATAAAGAACGACTTAAAGCATTCAGTGGTTGTTCAGAGATTACAAGACGTGTAGTTTTGCTATGAGCACCGTCAATATATCCGTTCAAAACTCTGTTACACAATCATGTTGGGTGAGTATTAGTTGTTTTAGATCAGCTCGTCTCTAACCTTCGATTCTAACTTCTCGTTCAATGTTCGCACAACTGTATGTAATAATCTTTTGTGCATCACTTCTGAATCCTGTTCCAATGTTAAAGTGAAAAATAGATCATTCTCGAGCATTTTTAGGCTTACGAAAGCTTAGTTATTTTTAGAAGTAAYATGTATTGTTAACTCTTGTCTGAATTCATTATTGGATCAAATTAAGCTTTATAAATGTCTATAAATATACGAAACTGGAAGTGAAAATTGTCAAAGGTTTCACAATACACATAATTTTTTGGATTATTAGTAATACCTTTTAATATAACAAACTTTAATTTGTTAATCAATAACTTAGTTATCTAGTGTAATAGGTGTAATTGGGAACTGGTCAAAATTTATGAGGGGTAGTACTGGCTTGAGAAATAGAGGATTTTTATGAAAATGAGTGATGCAAGTGCAAGAGAATGGAAGATTTTATTTTTCTTGTGTTGGATTGCACTTGTGCTTGTGCTTATAGCTTGCATCTGCTTGCATCACTATAGACTGAGAACCATGCCTAACTACATACAGCACGCATGCACATTCTCTACTTCTTCACTGTTGCTACTGTAACTGATTAGGAACTGACAGCTTCAGTTTCAATAGCATTTAGAAAAGTTTTTTGATATTTAAACATAGCTCTAGTTTTGTGCACCTATTTCTTACAGTACCTTTTACTCTTAGGATGATGATATTCTACTAACTAATTCAGAATCTCAGTCTAAAGGTAAATTTTAAGCTGTAAAGCATTTTGACCCATTTTTATCAAAATACAGCCCAACACAGTTAGTCCAAGACAACGGAATTTTTGGCTTTCATTGTTCAAAATGATACTAACTGAGAATGCTGAAATTTGATAAATAGAAGCTTAAAACCCTGATGTCTTGAATTATAACTAGTTCTATGCTATGGCAGTTTGAATTGATTGAAGAAATAATTTTTGATAAAGATATTTTGATGTCGTTTCAATACAATTAACACTGTACAATATGTTTACTTATTTCAGGTCTTTTTACTACATTACTGCATGCCACAGCTGTTAATGGCAATRAAAGTCTGCTACAGAAACTACTCCAAGAAGGTAAACTTAACTTATGTTTACCAAYGGGGAGATAGGAGTTAATATTAATATCACAGTCCTAGCGAATAGACCATTTGAATTTGTACAATACCTTTGTATTCCTTGATTACAGACTCATTTACTTAGGGTTAGCCTCATTTCAGCATCAGAATATTCACAAATAACAACAGTAAAGTTAAGAATTCAAAACTTCAATAAAATAAACACTTCAAAATTTCATCTGCCTTTGCTGGAACTGAGTATTCTACACAAATCAAGGCTTACCCTGAGCAAGTCTGTCCTTTGTCTCTAGTTTGTGGCTCTCTTATCACTGTTTCAAAGTGATACTGCTTGTCAAAATTAACTCCTTACTGGATGTTGCAGCCCAGGGGGGGGACTCCGGGAAAAAAGTACCGGGGATGCTCGTCGGAAATTTTCCAAAAGACCCCTAAAAGACAGCGGAAGTCTTTAAAAAAAGGGCATGGTTGAATGATTTTTATGCCCTAAGAGATACCACAACAAATAATATTAAATTTTATGTAAAAAACGCCTAGGATAAGCCATATCGATGTGTGTTTCTCTCCTTTTCTGGCACCCTAAGAGATACCAAATCACGAATTTTTACCCCTAAGAGATATGACAAGCATCCCTGCAGTACTTTTTTCCTGGAATCCCCCCCCCGGGTGTTACGGGGATCAATATAATTGTTATATTTACTCGAGCCCTAAAACTCTTGATTTTCTTTACGTGTTTAGTTGCTGGAAGAAATGATGAAATAAACAAAGGGGATCAGTTCGGCAGAACTCCTTTGGTAAGGATAGGTATTATGTAATTCTTTTTATTTGTCTATTTTAAATTACCTTTGTATAGTGTTAATTTTCAAGTATTGACACTAACAGGCACATTATTTTCTAGGTGTATAGTGTGTTAGGTGATCGCTTGGATTGTGCTGAGCTTCTCATCAAGTATGGAGCCAGTGTAAGTGTTGAACATTTTCATGGGTATCAAAAATAATGGGCATGATCGATGACTGGCAATATGGACTAATCAATAGAGGTTTTGCACCATCACATGCCGGCRCCATAATCCAGCTTAGACTACCTGTGGTTAGATGGCAGAACAATAAAATCCCTTTGCTCTCTGGAATTGAATTGTTTCTCATGTAAAACAATTGTATTGTTCCTGCCATCTAACATGGCTGCCATCACATGATGGTGCAAAACCTCTATGCATATGGATGGACATGATGACCAGCCTCTTGAGCTTTCAAAGATGAGGGCCCAGCAACTCTCATTTTGTATTTTTTGATAAAAATCCAGGGATTCTGTATTTTATTATAAGAGATTTACAAGATAATTATTATTTATTAGGCTATTATTATTACCATTACAGGTTTGGATGAGTGATGTTGATGGACRTACACCTTTACACTGGGCAGCGTATCAGGTATTAAAACATCTCTAATTTATAATGCCTTTTAAAGATATGACATGGACAGGTAACAGTGGCTTAGCATCGAAGCCAGAACAGTGGTGACCTAGGCAATGACAGAGACGGTGAGTGAAAAAATTGCCCAAGGTGCCAAAAAAAAGGTCTCTTTCATTGCAAGGTCAGTGCCGTTGCCTTTCAAGATGGCGCAGGGAACTTGAAAGGGACTATTAAGTACTAAAATGTATATCTTTTTTGTTATTACTAGGGAAACCACAAATGTGTCAAGCTACTTTTGTCCAAAGGAGCTGACTGGAAAGCCAAGGACACCAAAGGAAGGTATCTATTAATCTATCTGCTGTATTGCACAATGAAAAAATTCCCTACTGTAACCCCCTAGGGGAAATGTGACAGTTACGGAAAAAACCACGAGGAGATAAAAAAGCAGTTTTCTAAGCTGTGATTCTTAGTTCGATTTACGCGAAATATATACATAATTTACTCCATTAGAATCCCCTACAGATTTTGTAAGTATTCAATCGTTTATACTTTGATTTTATAAAAATGTTTAAGACAAATTTTCACATATTTTGTAATTGTTATAATTTTCAGTTGACACTCACCTACCTAACTTGACCTTAAGCCAAGTTCACATCATACAGAAAATTAAAGGGTTTTGACAACGGAGTAACAGTGTAGTTTTTAAATCAAGTAGCACCCCAACACGAGGGAGTGAAACATCTGCTATAATAAATAAATATAACAATAAATAATATAAAAYAATTAATAAAACATGCAGAAGACTAGAAATCAAGCTTAAGGCTAAAAAATTTGCCTTTATTATTATTTTTTGTTTTGAATGTTTTTGTGAGTTCTAAACTGGTTTTCACATTGTTTCTATTTAGTCCCCTCCACATAGCTCATTAGTATATTAGCAGAACTCATTACCATGTAAAACTGCCATATGTGAATTCACTCTAATAATTTAATAATAATTAAATAATAAAACAAGCAGAAGACTTTAATGAAGCTTTAAGGTAAAAATCATTTTTTAAATGAGGGTATAACAGATAAAGCAAGGAGGCTTTGTTTCCAATCTTACCCATTAATTCCTTATCAAATTAGAATTTAGAAGTTGACTTTTATGAAGGGAGGAAAACTGGAGAATTTAGAGAAAACCTTTTGAATCATAGAAAAGAAAGAAGCAACTCTGCMAATACAACACCATAACCAACAGAAATAGAACCTGGGTTGCATTGTTCAAAGGCGATGCATTAGTAGCTAATCCATGCCACATGTACTTCTTGTAGAATAATTGGATTTCTTTATAAATTGCCATTTTTTTCATATTGATGCTAAAATTCTAGCCTTAAAAAAATGCCAGCAGTCTGAGTGAGTTAATATTTGTTTGTTTGACAGATAGGTGAAAAAATTATTGACTGAAGGTTATAGTCATGTTAGTATAGGAAATCGCACGATCTCGAGTACAATTTGGAAATTAATAGACACGAGTAATGTTTTGAAAGTTCTTGTAATTGCACGAGCCTTTAGGCGAGTGCAATTACAAGAACTTTCAAAACATTACAAGTGTTTATTGAATTCCAAATTGTACGAGAAGATCGTGTGATTTTTTGTTTATAGTTCACTCAACAAAATTTCAGTAAAAAATGCGAAGCGATGCCGTTCATCTTTGTCTATTTGGCCRCCGATTTTCAGTCCATCGCGCAACTGAAATGCATAAAAAAGATTAGTTCTTACGGCTTTAAAATTTTATTTATATGTTTTTTAAGTACAAAATGATAGAAAATAATTGTTTTGACATTGTTTTGGCCGTGTTGCCATAGCGACTTAATTCGGTACTCCTACGGAGTACAATTAACGCTATAATTGTACTCCTCTCGACCAATCAGAGTCGAGTAATTTTGTTGAGTGTACTATAATTATCAAAATGACAGAAAAGTCAAATACTGTAGAGAGAATTATAAAATTGTGTCTGGTCATAGCAGTAATTTTACATTTTGTTTTCAGAACACCTCTTCACTTTGCTGCCAGTCCACACTCAGCCAAGGTATTAAAAACTACTTCACATTTTGTGCATCTTTAAATAATTACTAGGAAAATCATGAGGTTTCAAATCCRGTTGGTAACCTTGTGGTGGTAGGAAGACTCAAGGGCCTTGAACCCATCTCTCTACAGTCATGATCACTGTACAGCCTAGCAGGTGAACAAACACAATGTCCAGCCAAAAATAGCACTTGTCCAGCCACATTTCTCAGTCACTTGAGTTTCAAGGGTGGATCCAGGGGGTGAATTGGGTGTCTAGTCAACCCCTTTGGAGTTGAACAAAATAAGAATAAAGGACAAGGTATGACATAAAAAGGATGCTACTGTATGTGATGCCTTTCAAAGTAAGAGTCACCCACCTCAAAGTTCTTCTGGACCGGACTAAACTTATCACTRGACACTGTTATTGTGTCTGGCCATTGACCAGGTGTTTATTTAGTCCTGCCCTAGGCCTTTTACTAGAAAAGTGAACTCTTGCCTCTGGAATTGTCTTCTCCCCATAACTTAACAGTAACTAGAGGTGTTTGACAGTTTCGGTTCTAGTGACATTTATTACTCACCTAGCTTAAGCCTTTATCATTTCACTTTCAGTGTTTGTCTGTGCTACTGAAGAAAGCGCCTAAAGGAGAAGTAGATGACCCAGATAATGACTCCATGACTGCCTTACACTGGGGAGCTTCGTATGGCAATAATGAACATGTCAAGATGCTTTTGAAGGCTAAGGCTTCTGTCAAGTTATTGGATGTTGAAAGTAAGTGGAAGCAGTAGAACAATGAAAAAATGAGTGAGTATATTGTTATTGACAAATGAAGGAAGGAAGGAAAGAAGGAAGGAAGGAAGGAAGGAAGGCAGGAAGTAAGGAAAGAAGGAAGAAAGGGAGGGAGGGAGGAATGGAGGGAGGGAAGTAATGAGTAAATATATAAGGAGGTGAGTTTTGTGACTATGAAAAATGGAAATAGAAAAGATGGACAACAAGACGCCATGTGAGAATTAATAGGAAAGAATAAAGAGAACAGGGATGAATAGAGCAGAGGAAAGTTAAGAATTAAAGAAGAAGGAAGGTGTAAGAGAGAAGAAAAAGCGAGAAAGCAAAGGAACAGTGAAAAAAGGAGGGTAAAGAATGCAGTCTGTAATCTAAAACTACAAAAAAATGTTGATAACTTTTTTTATGTACGGTTACTTTGATTCTCACAGAAAAGACACCACTGCATTGGGGAGCAACAAACCCAAACCCTGGCGTCGTCAAACTTGTCTTGGTAAGGAAGACCATTGGGCTATACTGTACACCTTTATCATGCAGGGCAAAATTTCAAAATATATTTTTTGTTATCAGAAAAAAGGGGTTTGCACATGCATATATAGAGTTTGTTTGACGTTTTTTTCTTACCCTTGTCACTATAATTTTTCTCTGGGTTCTTCTCCCTCTCTTAACAATATCAGGATTGAGTTGGAAACGAACACTAGAATACTCAGTGTAGTGGTATCGTGTGTGAGTGAAAGTGGAAACCAGAATTTATCTTAATAGGAGGCAGCATGGTCAAGTGGTCATTGCATCGGTCTCTCAATCCGGTTGTGCCGAGTTCAAGTCCCGCTGAGGCCACTAGCTGAGACTGTATTTGTCCTGATCTCTGATTAGTTCAAATTCAGTTTCTCAACCATGCTTGTAAATAGTCAACTGGATTGCCTCCTTGTCAGTTGGGATTCTTTATGGTTATTTGATTATTTCTTCATTTCTTTATGTATTTCTTTATGTACAATTATTAATGTATTATTACGCTAAAGTATACTGAGATTTTAATAAAGTTTATCATCATCATCATCATCATCATCATCATTATTATTATTGTTATTATTATTTTTATTTTTATTATTCACTTCAAGTATAGTTATAGGAATCAAGCATGGCAGTAGTACATTCTTCCATTATCACCTCTGAGGTCTCTACCCTGCTTGGCAGAGATTTCTTGCAAGGTGTAGGGTCTCGGGCTCGAGGGTTCGATGTCAGTAGACTTCGTTTTGTCACTCCCTCCCTTGATTCGAGGGTTTTCTCCAGGTTCCCCAGTTTTCCTTTCTCCTAACACATGTCACTAAGTTTGATTTGAGTTAGATGAATCCAGAAGTTGTTCCAGGGTATAAATACAATTATTTAATCATCTGATTGTTTTTATACTGTAATCTCTTAGGAGCAGTCAAATGAGATCATCAACTGGCAAGATATAGAGGGGAGAACGGCCCTGCATCATGCTGTAGCTCAGCAGAATGAAGCTGTAGTGAAACCTCTGTTGTCAGTAGGCAAATGTAATGTGTCTGTGCAAGACAACATGTATCGTACTCCCTTACACTGGGCTGCTGTTCTAGGTGAGCTTCACAACAGGACTTGTTAACTAATACCCCCAACTTGGCCTCCAGGTTTTGTTGTTGTTTTTTTGACACTCTTGGACATTAATCTTGCACCTGGATCGAGACATTGATTTGTATACAGCTACTGATTTCCMAAAAGGTTGAATACTGAATACTGTATACTGAAAAATGCATTCCAAGACCAAAGTGCATTGTCAGTCTTGTTAATTTGAAATAAAAAGTAAATATACAGCAATTAACTCTCTACATGTAGTAAGTATATTGTTTCAGATGGAATACACTAAAAATAGAATAAATAATTATTATTAATCCTACTTTAGACAATGTCACTATGACCCACAATCCACTTCGGTCTTGSAATACACTATTCAGTATGCAGTATCCAGTATTCAATCTTTTTTGAAATAGCTGCAATACTCCACATTCGAATTCTCTGTTGCTCAAGGTTAGCCTCGATTTTTTGTCAAATATCCACATGTTCCAGTGAAGGTCCATGGAATCCTAAGGCCCCGTCCACACGTATCCGCAAATTTTTKTATCCGCAATTTTTTTTACGGATAGGAGTTGCGTCCACACGTGTCCGCAAATTTTTGTGTCCGTATCCGCAAATTTTACGAAAACGGATACGTGTGGACGGTGAAAACGATTCGAATACGCTGCCTGTGGACGCAAACATTTTCGTATCCGCAAAAAATAATTTGCGGATACAAAAATTTCCGGATACGTGTGGACGGGGCCTAAAGTGCTTGTATTTTTTTAGTCGTGGATTCTTTACTTTACCGTTGTGGCATTCGTGACTATTCTGATGCTGAAACGAGGCTAACCCTGAGTATATGAGTCTGTAATCAAGGATTACAGCGGTATAGTATGAATGCAAAAATGGAGTAATACTTCCATTATGTTACTGTCTGTGACGTCATCACAGGGTTCATTAAATATACAAATTTAAAATTCTTTTCATTTCATTTACAATGTATTCATATTCATATTATACAAACGTTGAATGGTTTCACGCAAACAGTATTTAAAATGCATCATCATTATACTCAAGGTATTCACAATATTTATTGTAAATTTGATGTCTTATAATGGCTAGTGTTTATCCATAAAAGCCTGGGATGATGTCACAGTCAGTAACGTATTGGAAGTATAAACCGTCATAGCTGGAAGATGCAAGATTCAAATGAAGGAATATTTCCTCATTCAACTATTCAATTAATGTAGAATCAATACTGAAAGTGATATTTAATTATATATAAAGTTTTATTTTTCAAATGTTGTTTCCAGGTAACTTCCGGATAGTAAAACTTCTGCTTCGAAAAAATGCCGACCACAGTGTGTCTGATGGTAATGGCGCCACAGCTCTGCACTACGCAGCTCAGGGTGACTACTTTAAGACGGTAGATGTGTTTTTGTCTTTTCGTGGAGTCAAAGACATTGCTGATAACGAAGGCAGGACAGCCTTGATGTGGGCTGCCAGGAAAGGTACGGTGTAATGAGATTTAGAGTTTTACTATATTAGATCTTATAGAGTAGAAGAACTGATATGGTTTGGTTTCAATTCATTGGTCGGGGTTTCAATTCATTCCTTGGGGTTTTCATCCGGGCTTTTTTTTTTTTWTTTTTTTWTTTTTTGCCCCATTTATCCATTGGGTTGAAATTCTTTTTTTTTTTTACCTCCAAATTGAGCTGCTATGACGTCAAAAGCAAGGCGTCTATAAACCTGATTAAACAAGTTTTTGTATTCCTTGATATTTCAGTTTTTGTTCGTTTGTTCTTGATTATTACAGTGCTTTTCATAGACGCACAAAATCAAAGTAGTTTTGATGGACGTCATTCAAAGTGTTTCCATAACATCGTCAAAAAACGCCGGCAATATTTCCATGGGGACGTCATAAACTCGGAAATGTCTAGGAAACGCCATGATTGACGCCCACGCAGAACCTACATCGGTGTCAGTGTTTGACCRTCATTGCATTTGCAGCAGATTATGCCAGAATCATAGACCTTTAACATAACTGTCTTTATCTTCCATAGGAGCAAGTATGGCATTAGAGACAATGCTTCGACATCATCTTGACGTCCATGCGACAGATAATTCAGGTCGAACTGCTCTTCACGTTGCAGCTTATTCAGGGGACATCAAATGTGTCGAGATATTACTAAACCATGGCGCTGGTGTGAACGCGCTGGATCAGATGAACCACACCCCTTTGTTCAGAGCTTGTGAAATGGGATACTTTGAGGTGGTTAACGTTCTCATGAAAAGTAAGTTGAACAGAATGAGCTTTGTGTAACTGAATGCTTTGTGTTTGACCAGTGAACCGATGTATGGAAAATGGTGAATGGGGTTTAAAAGGTCCATGCACGKGACGTATATGGTCGCTCGAATTTGTTTAAAGGCGTATTAATTATTCATGAGTTTTGAAAAGAGTGTCAAATCAACCCTCTCTGTGAGGGTTTTTTTAAGAGAACGTTGCCTGCATGTGTGCTATACCCTAAACTGTGTCTATGACACCATTTTGTCAAGCTTCTTATAAAAATAAGTTCAGGAATTGATCCTGACTAGACCCCAGTGATGGTCGACTGCACTATACCACTACACCAACCTTGATCCCCTAAAGTCCCGAAAAGTAGAAGCTTTAGTCATAAGCCTTTGTAGTTTGAGAAATGACTCCTGAATGGCTGTTCAAATTCTTAGCATTTAGTTCTTGAGCCCAAATGGGCTATGAGTTAATAGCCCATTAGGCCGAAGGCAGAAAAGGCTATTCACTCATAGGCCATGAGGGCAAGAGGACTAATTGTTTTAGTCAAATCCAGCTAGTCGGTCGAATATATAGATGCAAACCAGTTTTGAATTAAAGTTACTGTTTAATGTTTTGGTTTTCAAAGCCAGCACTTTTCGCTGCTAGTAGGCAATAAGTTATAGCCTGGTAGTAGCTCATCCAATCAGAACGCATCATTGATGATAGACCACTTGTTAAATTTGAGTAATAAACTTTATTTATTTGATAAGTTGGAATGATAAATAAAGGGAAGTCTGTCTTTTTATCTTCCAGATAAAGCGACTCTTGTCCTAGAAGACCAAGATGGCCGTTCACCTCTGCACTGGGCCGCTCTTAATGGGCATGCTCACATATGCTTTACATTGATTCAGAATGGAGTGTCAGCCAACAAGAGAGACAGACTTGGGTAAGGGACAATCAGTAGAAACTTCTAATAGTTATTGTTTTGAGACAAAAATTACATATGCCTGTTAGGGACGGTACGTTTGGGGGGGGGGGGGGGGGGGGGGGGGGGGGGGGGTGACTAAGATGATAAAGAGGGGGGAGAGATTGGGGAGTGGCAGTAAACTTTTCAAAATGGCCGTAACCTCGCCCCTTTCACTCAGTAACAAATTTATGACCCTTCTATTTTAGTCAACATCTACATTTTACTTAATCGGTAAAATAAAAAGGTTTCGTCAAAATAAAAAGGTTTGACCCTCCATGAAAATTCAATATTTTGCTGATAACCCTCCCCTCTGACGCTCCAACCCTCCCGTCCCCCAAATAAAAAACGTACCTTCCTTTTGTTAGATGTTTGCTAATTGTTTCGAAAGTTACCTATATAATGACCCTGATTTTCTATCCTTTACTCAAGTTACCTATAGAGTACAAAAACTAAAAGCGTGCTATTTAACTAGTACTAAATAGTGTTAAATTATGCTAATTGTTTTGTTTAATTAGTGCTATTTAACGCTATAGAGCGTTTCCATGTGACGTCACAGCGGCCATGTTGGCAGACAATACATTTTCTATCCTCCGGGAATTGAACTCTATCATAGCTTTATGTWAAAAAAATGTGCAGAAAGTATCTATTGTTTGGTACACCATTATGGCTGCCTTGTCACGTGAGTGAGAACATTATCTATACAATGCAAAGTAATGCACGCTTTTAATGTTTGTATTCTATCATTAACCCTGATCTTACCATCCTGCAGGTGTACGCCTTTACATTGTGCAGCTTATGGTGGTTTTGTCAACTGCATGTCTGTTCTAATCGATGGTGGTGCCGATGTGAATAAACTAGATCATGAGGGTATTTCACCACTACACTGGTCGTGCTCTTCTGGTCATCTAGAGGCTGTCAAACTCTTACTCAGAAATAGAGCTTTTCCAAACTTTATGAAGAAAGACGCAGAAAGGTAAACACGGAGAGAGCATTTACCTACATAGCAATAGCCGTTATTACAGTCGAGCCTGAGGTCGAGACTAAAGGATCAAAACGATTTAAAAAATGACCAAACCCGAGGGCAACTGTTATTTTGTTTTTGAAGGGGGTTATGTAGGTGAGGTTAGAGGGTGAAACTGCTGCATAAGAAACGTGATATCTGCCATCAAATGGAATAAGTGTTGCGATAACAACTTGGCATCCACTTTTCCCTCTTTCACATCGAGGACTTAACTTATTCTCGCTATACACTTTTCAGGCTCACACCCCTGGATTTTGCGATATTTGGAGACCACCAAGACGTTGCTCAGGTGAGAATGCACTTGATAATATTGATGATATAATGATATAACGATATAATGCACTTGTTAATATTGATGATCATATGTGAGTTAAGTTTGTGTTGTTGTTCTCTCCCTTACCACAAGGGATTTTTCTCCGGGATCTCCAGTTTCCTCCCTCCGTAAAAATCAACATTTGACTTGAGTGTTGTATGTTGTAAATATAGAATGTAGTGCTAGTGCGTGTGGAGGGAACCTCACGGAAGAGCCCCGTATGGGAAGTGGTGGTCGTAAAGCATAAGTTTTTTTAAAGATATTGAATATTACAGTGCAACTGCTATAACCACCTAAACAGCGCGAACCAATCAAATTGTAGAATAAAAACAATACTGGCATTCCAACTTTGGGTAGTGGAGCCAATCAGAAAGCAGCAGAAAACAATAACTTTTTAACATTACTTCTTATTCTCATGAGAAAATGACGGTGGCTGCCTAGTCGTTTACACGTAACATCAGAGTCAAATTACAATTCTCATRCAGTATAGGTTTCTGGTTGACCACACTACCCTAAGTTTGAATGCGTTGCTTTTATTCTACATTTTGATTGGTTCTCTTGTCTAACTGGTCTAAGTGGCCCGGCTTACAGTAGTTGCACTGTAACGATTTGTCCTTAACAAATTGCGTTATAATAATAATAATATGCTAATAAACCTGTGGCCCTCTAATGCGTTAAGCTTGAGGTTTTTGGAGGTTCGCTGCATCAGTATTAATACGAAGAAAGATACCAAGTATAGTATCTTTTCCAGACTCCAACCTGTGCTGAAAACCCCCATCTTGGGCGATAACGYTACTTCTTTCGTCGTTCCTACTGACAAGTTTCTAACTTGAAAAATACTAAGGACCATTCTATGTAGATGTAGCATAGCTTCATACCCCTACAGTTTCTTTTTATATCCAATATTTTTTTACGCTGTTCTTCGCGCCGGTTTAATCAAAGTATTCTGCATTTTGCAGTACATGATTGAACAAGGTGGCCTTACCATCACAGCTATCCAAGATTTAGCTGCAACAACYATCCAATCATGCTGGAGAGGCTACCGAATACGCACACCTTTCCAAAACCGTAAAGACTTATACATGCGACACGAGCAGCTGAAAAGAGACATGTTGATGAAGAGACGGGGTAGTTGTTCTGTAAGGGACGRTGAAATGCGAGGTAGGATATCTTTGATAAACAGCCCTGGATACCTTGTTTCAGATTTGACCAAAAACGAGCAACAACAAGAGCTTCAACAACAGCTGAGCTCCCAAGATTCATTCCCAAATCACCAAGACGAACTTCACCACAGAAATAGTATGGACCTGGTATTTGAAGACGATAGTTATTACCTTACATCGCTTGCCAGTCAGAGATACTCTTTCTCAGATTTCCAAGGGGATGCGGGAGATGTGAATCAGTTGTCGACGATACTCGAGTCTTCTCACCCACAGAACAGCATTGAACTGAATAAAATGAATGTGCCCAGCACAACTAACAAGGAATCGAATGAAGATACCGGAGATGTTCGCGTTAACGAGAATAGGGATACAAAAAACCTTGATGATGTAAAGGGAACTAGCAGTGATTCGCCAGAATCTGGTGAAGAATATGATCAGTCTGTTGACTATCATAAAAACGAATTAAACATTGGTTCGAGAGTAAAAACTGATGTGGAAGATAAAAACCATGTACTTGATACCACGGCACAGTCATTGAGCACTGACTACCGCGACTCCAGTAATACGGAGAAGAAAGAACAGAACAGTACAAAGCATAATTCGAATTTAAAATCAAACCCTGTTATGATACAAGAAGCAGTCATTCCTAAAAAGCAATTAAATAAAAGCCCTGGGATTGCAAATGACCACAATATTGGTAATGGAGCGAAATTAATCAACATTCAGTCGAAATCCGAGCTGGCTCGAAGAGACCGCGAAAGGCGTAAACTTATACGAGCCAAAATGGAAGCAGCCTCTGTGATTCAAAGATGGTACAGGCGTTGCCGAGATAGAAAACGTGAAGAAGACCCTGAAAAAGTTAAGGGACTAGAAGAGGTTCTGAATGATCAGAATGAGTTAGTCAAACAGCTTGCAGCCTTGACTATCCAGTTAGGATGGAGAAAGTACTTACGACAAAAATACCAGGGTCCCAATACCGAGCGTGGGGAACGCCAGGTAAACAAACTTGTTTATTCTGGTAGTCTTCGGTCCAACGACTCGACAAATACTAACACGTCAACAATCAGAACATCCAAGTATAGAAATAAGAAGTCAGAAGTAAGGCGTCCTACTGTAGTTGCTTCTGCAAATAGGCRCTCACGGATGGATTCTAGGTCGCAGTTTAGTTATGGCGCCGCGGGAAGGCTGCGTAAACCTGCGCTGTTTTCTCCGAGTGCAGCGTCTTATAACCTTGCACTTGACATGGAAAACCCTATTGTTGCGAAGAGAGGGGATACTCGTACCTCTACTCCACGTAGAGGTGCAAATAACAAGATAAGACCGAGTACAAGTCGTASGGCTACTTCTGCGTGGTCACATGTAGAAGGAATACAAGGAAGAAAGACGCAAAGGTAGAAAACCTCTTGCAACCTGGAAGATCGTTTGAGGATATCCTAATAACAAGATAAGACCGAGTACAAGTCGTACGGCTACTTCTGCGTGGTCACATGTAGAAGGAATACAAGGAAGAAAGACGCAAAAGTTAAAAACCTCTCGCAACCTGGAAGATCATTTGAGGATATCCTAATAACAAGCAAGACCGAGTTGCGTGGACCCCCGGGGATAATAAGGGAGACTGCTGTTAAAGGTAGAAAACTTTTACACCTATTGCAACCTTTAAAGTCTGATAAAACTATTTTAATTTCAGCAGAAGACCAAACAAAATCGTAAAAATGAAAATGTAAAAATGAAATAAAAATATCATACATTAACAAAATCATGATTATAGGAATAAAATGCATAAAAAATTCAATTGTTTAGATCGTAAATGGCTCTCTTTTTTCTGTTTCTTTCCTTTACAACTTTCTCTTTTTCTCTTCCATATTTCATAATTCGAAAAGAAAGCACTGATAATAAAAATTCATTTTCCGCGTATTTTTGTAAACGAACRCGCGTACGCTTTTCTTAGGAAGACCCTTTTTAAGCCCACCCGTGAAATAGAAGCCCATTACCCAGCATACGACTTACGTATATTCCTTAGGAGTTATCGTTTTCCCAGTCCTATATTTAGAACGGCTTTCCAAACCCCTCCAGAAATAGAGAATTAAGAGAGAATTCTTTTCGTATTCAAGCATTGAGCGCCAATTAAACTATTTTCTTGAAGAAAGGCTGTTGTACAAGGCTAAAATCTTGTTATTCAGAAAGTTTAACTTGTTTGGAAGTGGTGATGACTGATGAAAGTGGAATCAAAGTGTTCACCCAAAGCAAAAATTTTATTCGAAAATGAGGTTTAGGCCTTCGTTTGCTTATTTCCCATACATTTTCTATAAAAAAGCCTGACAAAGCAACATTCTAACACAAATGCAACAAAACATCTTTGTACAATTGAAAATACCGCTTCAAACAGGCATTTTATCATGGTACATCAGTTTCTAACTGTTTGAAAAAGGTTTTGAGTGTTAACCCAAAACGATAATTGGGATCAAAACTCATACGAAAGTCTAGTTTTGTACTATAGTACTCGTTCTACTTCAGTGAGATTCCTAGAGACTTCGTTCATTTTCCAGAAGGTCGGTTGAGTGATCGGTTTTGTCCAATCAAGTGCACGTGATGTCGATTGAATTGAGAAACCACTGCACGTACTGCCATAGAAACGAAAATAAAGACACAATAGAAGTATAAGAAGTTGGAGTGATTTTACTTGGCCCGTGAAACAAAGTTGTGTACTTAGTGACTAATAGTCAAACTAAAACAAAAGAAAACAATGGAATTACTGGTATGCTACTGTGTATTTCGTTGACTATTCTTTCACGGGCGAAGTAATATCATTCTATTATGAATCATTCTATTATGAATAGCAATTGACAAACAAAGACATTGACAAAAACAATCGACAAAAATCTAGTTATTTTGTCGTTACCGTCCAACGATGTGAAAATGGTGCTCTTCTCCCATTTTATCGTATATATCGTATATATCAAGCGCGTAACCACTCTTCCTGTATATAAACTGGCTTTAGCGTTAAACTGACTGTTTTTCGTTCCCTTTTTTTCTTTTTGGCACCCGTATGGGGACTTAAAATGTTAAAATTATCATTAAGTACGCAGTACTTCGAAGTCGAATTGTGACAACATAAAGCTCTGCTTGATTGAGATATGGCTATGACTTCCGTTGTCTTTACCAAAAATAGCGAAACAATTAGATTAAGTATTAAACTGCTTGAGACTTAATGATCTACTCAAAGTCAGCCAGTCGGCTATCAAACATCTTATATATGTCTAGAAAGAAATATTTATTCATATTATTGTGAATACATGACCAAATTATAATTAAAATTGATGTGAACTAAAACATTAAATTTTGCAAGGTTTTTTACATTCAATTGTTGTTAAATTATCCGTTCAATATACTATATTGAAATATTGTCTCATAAGATTTCTATAATTTTTAGTTTTGCTAGAACGATAGATTTCTCATTCAGATATGGCTCCAAATAGTCTTATAAATTTTTTTTTTTTTTTTTTTTCAGGCCATAATATAGTGTTTGGAAGTAGATTAGTCAGTTATAATTCTATTAACACCATTAAGACTTTTTAAGAGGTTATCCTATATGATTTATTGACATAAGTACGATGTTGTCATAACATGGATCACTTGTTAATCCATTTCAATTTACAGTTCCTATATATTATATTTATTTTATCTAGAGAGAGTTTTTAGCTAGTCTTAAACGCAAGATTCTCTATCGGGATCACTGGAGATGTTCTCAGTAATGTCTTCTCCGATGTCAGTAACAAAACCAAGTTCGTATAATATCAAAGCACGTCCTACGATAAGAAGCATTTCTTCCCCATTAGCAAGTTCTAATACACTTAACCAGTCATTGGTCTGTATCGAAACGTTCGCTCCAGCTTTAAGCAAAGCTAAAACACACCTTACATTGCCGTGATAGACTGCATCATGTAAAGGCGTGCAGCCATTCTCATCTCGAATGTCTACGTTCGCTCCTTGGTCAATCAGTAGTTGTAAGCAATCGTAACTTCCTTCAGTAGCAGCTCTGTGTAACGGCGTCAAACCATTTGGTCCTGGTCGATTGATGTCTACCTTTCTCGACTTAATCAAGTGACAAGCTTCGACAAATTCATCATTTGCAATCGCAATGTCTAATAAAACATCCGAAGTAAACTGGACACGTTTCTCTCTTTTGGCAACTACTTTTTTATGCGTGGAATTCGAACTCGGTGTCTTTCTTGTAGGATGTGTTTTTCTTCTGGTTTTAGTGTTTTTGCTGTTTACAGATGTTTTTTGTTCTAGTGGACGATTACAATTCGATTCAATTAAGTTCATTTCCTCTTGAGTAAGTGGTGAGGTCACTCGTCTTTGTTTCGGCACAATTTCACTTATCTTCTCTTGAACATTAGAGGAAGTGTGGAAGCTATCTGAAAAAGGAATATCACCTCGCGAGGATCCAATCTTGTCCATCTCTGAGTACCCAGAATCGCCAATACTTGATCTTCCAGAGTCCGAGACGTTAGACAGACTTGATCGCTGGGAATCGCTTTCCAACGTGCCAAATAAATTTGAAAAAGCACTTTTTGGTTTCCCAACTAGACTTGCTAAGAAGGGTAGTGTTCGTTGTTCTTGTGAAATCTTCTCGAGTTCTTTGAGAATAATTTGTTTGAGTTTGACGGGTTTGTTTAAGTAGTTGAGTCTTTCCCGTACAAGGTCATCTTTTCCATCTCTGGACATCATTTTGGCTAATATTATGACCATATCATCACGACTTGCGCAATCAAGTGGCATCTCACCGCGGTCCGATACCGCGCAAGTATCGGCCCCATGTTGGAACAGCAATTCCGCTAACATCGAGTTATCATAAATAGCCGCGATGTGGAGGGCCGTTCTTCCATGTTGGTCTTTGATGTTGACAAGTTCGCTACCTTTTCGATCCAACAACATAGACACCAGCAGCAAATCATTCTCCTTACACCCTTGATGTAATGCCTTCAGCATATTTACACTTTTTGATATTTCAAGTGTTCTTTTTGATATTGGTTTAGTATCCGTAGAGTTTTCTCGAACATTTACGAGTACTTTACACGTCTCGTGTTCACCCTTTGGCAGCAAGGTCCTTTATGAYCATGTAACTGAGACACCTATCAATATATAAATCGCCTGGCCACGTTATTCTGTTATTTAGTGGGTTGCCCAGATATCCCTTTGTTTACACACCTATACCTGGACGTCATAATAAGAATGTCCCAAGAGAGGTGACGTCGGTGCCAAAATTATCATACAAGTATTTCAGGCCGATGTAAACACAACACCCTAAATTAGTGTATGAACCTTGTCTTGCACGAAAACAAGAATCAGAGAAGTGTTGCTGGTAATTGGATAACATGCATTTATCGGGAGTACAAAAGTCTAATTAGAAAAAAAAATCGTCAAAGGGTCCGCCCCACTTAAAACACCCTAAAATATATTGTCAGTGTTTCGTGAATTTGCGGGGGTTTTTTTCTTGGATGTTACTAGTTATTCGTTGCGTTGTGTTTTTTTTTTCTTGATAGTGACTGCTTTAGCCAGGAATAGAGAGTGAAAGGAAGGATTCAAGTGGAGAAAGAAAATTCCTTGATGGAAAATCTCTTTGACACGAGGCAGAATAGTTCAGTCAAACAAGACTTTAGTTTYATGGTTTTAGAAGTAAAATCGCTGACTCATTGATGTCAAAGCATGTACAACTGCCTAATTTTCATTCTCTTTGATTCTTAGCACAATTTTGGCGTAAAATACTTTATATGAAATTAATAATAGATTTCTTTCTAATAGTTGGTAAAGAAATTCAGTATAAACACTGGTTTCCGATGCGTCCACCTTAAAATATACAACACCTCGCATAAACATGCTGGTTTTTATTTCAAGGGRAAAAAAATATCCTTATAGGTTTAAGAAAACATGGCTACATATTATGCTATGGAAATAGAATGTGGAAAAAATCCAAATTTAATGCAACAAACAACGCATACATCTATCTGTTAATGAAGTGTTAATGGACTATTGACCACAAGTATGTTTTAGTCTTAGACGAGACAAATTCATTCAAGGATATTGAACTTGAAGTGACATCAAAAGCAACCGCTCTTTCTATGTTATGTTTTGGAGTAAAGTGGTCATTCCAGTAAATCTACGTTTTGTATTCAATCTCTTTGAACTTTCCGCCATGGTTTAGACAAAACCTCGAAAACAAAAGGCATTCTATTGTCAAAATAATAAAGTTTTTACAGAATAATAGGATAGTTTTATTGTCCTGTTTTAAGATCTATGACTTTTAATTGCAATACTTAGAAATTACCTCCWGACAGACTGTATGGTTTACTTTTCACTCGGGTGTCAAGAGGTATTCTTGTCATTCAAAAAAGTTAATTATTTACCAGTGCTTTGGAACTGGTCGGAACAACTCTAATGGGAGAATCTAGGGCAATTTAATCTACTTACTGATAATTTCTTTGCTTGAATTCCAAAAGATTTAGTTAATTTTATGATACGAAAAAGACGAAACTAGTTTCCGTAAATCCTTGATTTCCAATGCGTAAAAGATTACTTAGATTATTTTAAAGGTTTAGAACCTCATATCATAAAACAACCTACTTATAATAATTCCATAATCATTTTTAGTCATATATAACGTTTTTAGACAGCTAGCTTTTCATGTTTCGCGTTTTTACCACAAAAAGGGTAAATTTTCACACATTCTGACGGCTAAACAAAGTTAGTGACCCCCATTCTATATTTGCTTATTATACTTCTAGTGTGATGTACTTTCATCMCGCAAAATTTCAAGAATTATTGCTGTGAATCCTTGTCCTTTTGTTTATAATTCCAAAATTGTTTGTTTCCAAAGAAAAAATTAATCGGTTTGTCTCTTTATTGTCTTTATGCAGGGCGTAGTCGATTCTTTTACATTCAAATCTGATACGTTTAATGTTCGCTTTTGATGGCACTGCATACTAACACTGCATACTAACACTTAGTCAAACAAGAGTTATTATATTCTATCTCATAACATAACATAGCGTCTTGATTCTGAGTTTAATTTTGAGATAATTTGGGGGTCGTTTACTGGAAAGTGTTTTCGTAGAAGATGCAAATTCGATAAATTCGCAAAACTACATTTATCGCAATTAATTACTCCATTACGACGTGCCTCGTGATTATGCCAACCCTAAAATTAAGATAAATTGTTTTTGATGTTATTTTTATGCTAGTCTACTGAAAATCTCTTATAGGAGCCCATATTTCTATGCCGGCCATATGCCAAACACGGATCTGAGGTCTAAAATTTCTGATGAACTCAATCGTCCCTCCTACACCAAAGTACTTCTCAGTCATAATTAGGTTTAGGTTTTGTAGCACGTCTTTCTGGATTCATTATGACGTTATAAAGTATGGAGTTCTTTTTTATCCGAGAGTCAAACTTTACCCAAAACTATCCTTTCTTTGTATGCGAGTCCTTCGGATGGTGCAAATTCTACTCCAAACGTTTCACTTCTATGTTCGACTGGACCATGGATCATTGACCGTGCAAAATGTACTTGCCATCCGGAGACCCCAGAGGAAAAACAAACGTTTTGCATACGCGAGAGAAATTGCAGTAAGTCAGTATATGATATGTCGAAAAAATTACTCGTAAAAGTCCTTTCAGCGTTTCTCTGTACTTGAATCTCGCATCGAGCTGCGCGTTCACCGCCAAGTTAGCAAGTCRGCACAATTTGGCACACGTCTGGTAACAATATTGCCTTGCGACAACGAAAATAGAGCAGAAGTTCACATGTTTGAACTTTTATTTGGAGCCACACGTCTGCACCAATGGGTATGATGACCTTGCCACTCAAGATTTCTAATCTGTTTTTATTCTCTATAAATTTCGTGCACGTGGTGAGGTAAATGGTGTTGTTCTCTCCTATGCTAGGAGGGTTTTCTCCGGGTTCTTCGGTTTCCTCCCTCCGCAAAAAATCAAACAACATGTGAGTCGAGCATTGTGTGCATAGRACATTGAATGTAGTGGTAGTGTGTGTGAGTGAAAAGTGTCCCCAATTAGTGCGAAAGGGCTAGAACGACTAGACACTTAAATAAATATTTTTATTTTATTTTATTTACTTTTTCCTCGCATATTTTTKGCATATTTTTAAAGTGCCGCTACGATCAAATTTCTGACTTTCTCTTTTCTTTTTGCCTGGATTGAAAGACCTTTGATAGGGAAGMAAGATGTCACTTTCATTTTCAAATTTTCTCTTTTCCTTCAAAAGGTATTGGAGTTTTAAAATGGCGGCCATTTTTTGATGACGTCATATTGTCAATACATGATCAGCCTAAGATCATGATATGCTGTATCTCAACCCAATTTCAATTAAAATCAATCAATCAAGGCTAGGTTAAAATATCTGTTATGATCGTAGACACAAATTTATTCCAACAATTTTTCTGCTCAAGTTAAAAAATAACAAAGCAATCGATGAAAGACTGGGAAACGAACCCAGCGAGGTCGGAAATTAATTTTTCCGAATTT